TATGATTATGAATATTAAGAGCAATAATCAAACGATCAACATGATTTGAATGTGTGATCAACTTATCATGAATAATAATTTCTTCTAACTATCAACATAATCACACCGTGTAATCATATAATCATGAATATCAGGGGAAAACTCTTACTATCAACATGATCACACTACTCACTAGTTATAAGACTTATAGTGATTAACTTATACAGAAAATTTTATAAATCCCAGGTTGGACCAGAGCCTGATATTTTGGCCTAAATGTTTAAAGCAAAGGTATGTTTATTATTTGGTCGTAAACAGGCAATTTTTGTTTTCGTGTTTACCCTTTTCTGCATCTTTAGGACTCACTTACCCGTCAGTTAACAGCAGTATAAATATAACGTGAAATCGAAACAGAAAGTACACTTCGGAAATTCTCTTTTTCGTACAATAAATCCGAGTTACATTAAGAACCAATTGTATGATAGATAACAAAAATGAAAACTAAATAAGCCAATCAGAGCGTGGTCCATATCGTGGTTTTTAAATCCTAAAAACCACTACTATTATACCTCACCTACGAGTATTCAACGAACGCATACAAACAGGTTTTGGGATCAACAAATCCGGGCACGTTAACAACATCTGTGTAAAATAAGGATGTGGTATCCTGTTTGAAATAAGTTTTCACAGGAACAACTTCAAATCTTATTACGAAATAAAAACAATATTGTTTTTATTTCGTAATAAGATTTGAAGTTGTTCCTGTGAAAACTTATTTCAAACAGGATACCACACAATATTGTTTTTATTTCGTAATAAGATTTGAAGTTGTTCCTGTGAAAACTTATTTCAAACAGGATACCACATCCAGATAAATGTAATGTTCTTACCATAACAAGAAAACGTAAGCCTATTATAAAAGAATATGTACTGCATGGCCACACACTCGAATCTCTAAATTCTGCAAAGTACCTTGGCTGCACCATCAGCTCCGACTTAAAATGGAATGAACACATTAAAAACATATGTGTCAAGGCAAACAAGACCATAGGCTTCCTCAAACGTAACTTGAACATCAATAACAACACAATAAAAGAAACTGCATACAAGTCACTTGTAAGACCGACTCTAGAATATGCATGTACAGTCTGGGATCCTTATCAACAAAACAACAAAAACCGACTGGAAATGGTACAGAGGAGAGCAGCCAGATATGTCACTAACAGATATCATAACACATCATCTGTTAGTGACATGCTTAACAAACTAGAATGGAAAACCCTCGAAGACCGTAGGAGAACATCAAGGCTTACAATGATGTATAAACTTGCCAACGGGATGGTGAAAGTTGACACCAGTAATACTCTCATTCCACCAGATAGGCTATCCAGAAACATCAACACAAATGGATATCAAGTACCATCTTGTAGGACCGAAGTGCGGAAGGAATCTTTTTACCCAAGGACGATACGAGACTGGAATGCCCTACCACAAACTGCCACCAATACAGGTAGTCTTGAATGCTTCAAGACTTACCTGCATGAGATGAACTAGACCAATCCAAGATGTTTTTAAATTCACTGTATATATGATGTATAGCACAAATTCAAATCAATTCAATACTTATTTTTTGTCTAAATTTTAAATGCGCATCCAAAAAGTGGCAAAATAATCAACTTATTGATGGTGGCCGCGTATTGGTAGAAGTAGAAGTAGAAGAAATCAATCGAGCTCCCAATTTCGGGAAAGGCTCTCGTAGATGTATTGAACAGTGTGTCGGTCACCGCTATCAGTGAAGAAAACTTAGCAGTATATATACGTGATGGATGGATCCAAAACGTTCGTGTTCGACACGGATTATAGTGACATAAAGGGGAGTCATTGTGTTGCTTTTACAGGGGGTCCCATCGTCAGTTCCGGTTATTGCTTAAGTCCTTTTTCTGCACGACCTCATTACCTCTTGTTACATAACTCGGTACTTTTAGGGGTGACTGAAAACCCTCATCCTATACTACTATGGATAGTAAACTTGGAATTGGTAGTAGATGGCAAATATATGTTATTTCTAGTGTATAAATATATTAATACAGAAAAACGCAGATAATAATTGAAATTAATAGAAAACTAAAATTAACGGATTTTATAAAAAAGGATGAAATTTCATGTCCTCAAGTACCTTTGGGAAATATATACTAGTCAACAAAAGAAACGATACAAGGCAATGTATTTCCATATCTAATAAAATTGAATACATTCTACCAAGCTAATAAGACCCGATTGGTCTAATATTTACAGAGTGTTAAATTCTTATCAAAACCTTTGATTTAAGGCATTTGCGCGAAAAAAATTTTTTTTAGATTTTTTTGTTATATCAAAAATCGTAGTTTCACCCAAAATTCAAAAATCGATATCACGACTTAAAACTGTAAACCTAAACATGGTCTGCTTCAAATTTTGAATGTCTTCTCAGATATTTGAATACTTAATTCTCATTTTAGAAATTAAATGCTGACTTTTGTAACCATTTTCCGCAACATAAATTTGACCCTGGCTGTGTTCAATAACACGATATGTTTAACTTTCCTATTAAGTCAGATTCTGTTAGTCATATGCATTTGCTTTGCCATCGACCCAGTGGTTGTAACTAAACTCATCATAGATACCAGGATCGAAATTTTGTATTTGCGCCAGACGCGCGTTTTGTCTACAAAACACTCATCTGTGACGCTCGGATTAAAAAAAGTTTAAAAGGCCAAATAGAGTACGAAGTTGAATAGCATTGAGTGACCACCTGAAATGTGTTGGACTCAAACTGTCACCTAAAGAGTTGTAAATGTGTATAAAATGAAAACAGCAGCTAGGTAATAAATGTCATTCGTCCGAAGCGCTCTTCTAGATTTATACCTTCATCAGGAACACACAAAGCCAATTATTTGAAAGCGAAGAATATATAAAATCCTGAACAGTTAAAGAGCTATATATATGACCAATACGGACTTGAAAAAATACCAAAATTTATTGAAGTTCAATTTTGCCCGAAGGAGTTGAAAATTTAGTTTCTTTTAATTTAAAAATGATTTAGTAACGGACAATTTTAGAAAGGTTTGTTATATAAATTATTCATGTCAGTACCGGTAGCTTCCAATTTATCATTGATATGTCTAATAAATAATGCCGGTTCTAATCCTATAATTTGTTCAAATATGTAATACAATGTATACGGGATGGGTACCTGTTAAGTGTGAACCATTTCGTTTCGTTTCTTGTTGGTTTTGTTTTGCTCTTCCGTTTCTTTATTAGGTTTTGTTTTGTTCTGTTCCGTTTCTATTTCGTTTCGCACCTTAAGCCAAACCAGCACCAATGTAAGATGGGGGGGGGGGGGGGGGGGGGGGGGGCAGGACCTTTTTCGGGATGTTGGAATCGGGTGTTTTTAAGCTCTGGATTTCGGGATCCGGGAATTCTTTTTTCGAATTTCGGGATGTCGGGATGTAAATTTCTTTAAATTCGGGACCTCGGGATTTCATGTTTTTAAGCCCGCAATTTCGGGATCAGGACCCCTGCGACCCCCATCCCCCCCTCATGTAATTTGGATAAAAACTTACCACTGGACGTCACTTTCACGTTATATTATCATCAAACTTTTCATTTATCTAAAGTTTAGAATTTTCTTTTAAAATACAACCATTGAAGCTTTTGTAAACTCCCAGAAGTTTTTTCATTAGTCAGTGCTTAAACTATAAACCTGCACTTTTTTCAAATATTTAATCTCTGGAACATTTATAAATTCACAATAAGTCTTCTCGCACGTGGTATATACATAACGTCGCAGTACTCATATTGCACCGAGTACCCAAAGTGCACCTATTCAACAAAACAAGTTTTCTTTGAGACTAAATAATTTGTATTTTTATGATTTGACATTATACACGTCTTTCAACAAAGGTAGATATATTTAAATATACACAAAACGTTCACAATACATATCAACAGACGAAGCATTCACTGGAAAAAGTAAATATACAAAAACGTCGCCATGCGACGTTCACAAAAAGTCATCTTTTAAAAATGAGCAAATTAAATATGTTACAAGCATCCATTTCTTAAAAAATAAATAGTAAGCTTGGACTAATGTCAAATTGTTCTAAATATTTGAAGAAATAAAACAAAACATCTGTTATTCGATTTTTAAGGATGTGAATTTAAGCATGGATGAAATTTGGGTACTCCTCATTACAGAATCAATTCATGGATCGTTTGGAGGTCGGTTCAAACCCATTTTTCTATGATTCAATGTGGATTTAAAAATCAAATTGGTGGAACCATATAGTAAATAATGACACACCTACAAAATAAACACAGAATGGAAACTTTTGTCTGGATCATAAACATAGGTGAAAAAACTGTCAAAATAGGTGCAATTTGGGTATCGTCACGTTACATGCAGAATAGCGGTGCGAACCAGCGGTCTCCTGGCCAGGTAGAAAGGTGCAGCACAGAATGTACTAACATAATGCTATTAAGTTTTTACCAGTATATGTCAATGCCAATGATATTTTAGCTTGTAAGACAGTGCATGGTGACAACTCAAAGTACATCGCTTGACTGAATTCAATGGTCAATTTGACACTTTTGGATATGGGGGAAATCTGCATTCGGAAGATATTTTGTTGTCGTCTGCTTGACCGGATTGCGGATCAGAATTTTTGGGAGAAAACCATACCCCCCCCCTTTTTTTTAAAGTTAAATGGTCACAAGTTCCCTTACCCAGTGGAGTGGTCACAACAGTCAAACTGTAATTTATTAAATATCCTTTTGTAAATACATTTGTAGTCAGATCTTGGCTAGATATCCAGAGAAATCCAGGCTATTTAAATCATTTAAAGATACAAATGAATATCATTATAATTTCATGAAAAATCAAATAGACATAACGCGGAAGGACGGAAGAAAACGAGGGTATCACCGTTTTAGACTTTGTATTTATAATATCTTCCTAATAAACCAATAATTTTTCTCGACTCAAAAAACCAAGGCAAAATTAGGACGTAGAAAGTGTGCCAATTTTAAGTTCTCATATTTCACAGAATTTTAAACATACACGTGTAAGTTTTATAACAAAATTTGACACTGAATTTGAAATGCTGATTAGAGTATATAAATATATCCCGTATTTATTAGTTTAGATAGTTAAATTTGGATAGAACGCCCCTTTTGTTTTGCAACTTTTGGAATTCTCATTCCGGAGCGATAATTTTCTTGTTTGATTCCCTCACAAAAAATATAAATCCCCTTAAAAATTATGATTTAATTAAATCATAATTTTTAAGGGGATTTATTTTTTTAATTGTTTTTTTAGCATTCCTGAACATTTGAAGATTGCTCAATCAGAGACATAATACAAAAACTTAAACATGTTAAATTTCTTTTGAAAAATAGATAGACCTTTCTTTTAGCTATATATGGGTCATTTTAAAAAAATGTCGAATTTTCAGTACACCCATGCTAAAAATTTTGTTTCTTATGGAAAATTCAGTTGTAAATGTTTAAATGACAGCTTGGAGGATTCATGATTCAGAATATTAATATATAATAATAATAAACACGATTCACACCTATTTTGATAAGATTAAAATGTATTTAAGTCCGATTTTTGCGTAATTTGTGTGCGTACAGTGTCAGAGTAGCACATTTAAAATGATTTTTTTCCAATTTTCTGATCGCCTTGATACAAATGTATCTGCAAAAGGGACTTTTTAAGAACCTTAATTATAACTCTAACGAAAAATCATAGCTTCTTTATTATTATTATATGTAACATTTTATCTACAAACTAAATTCAATCAGCGTACATGAAGTTCATCTTAAGGTTATAACGTCTTAATCCTCACAATTTAGCATTTGCAATACTGTTATCGGTAACAGGATAGACAAAAAGGTAACATGATAGAACTTAATATAGTGATATATCTTTAACGTACATTCCTGTTACTAATAGATTAAAGACAAAAGTTAATTAACATATGATGGATTTACTTGACATGCTTGATGTTGGGTTTATTTGAAAGAGAGAAAAAATGCTGAACATTATGACTTGCTATCTAAGACTTACATTACTGGTGGTTATTTTTATAACCTCTAAAAACTAATTATAATAGAGGCATTTTTCAGTACAACATGGAAAATTGGCAAATAATCTATTATTTCACAGAATGAATACATTTGTATATATAGAAGTTTATACTCTTGAAAATCATCTAATCGACTACTAAAAACAAACTTAAAATTTGTCTAAACATTTTCTTAATAACCCGAAATTTCTTTTGAATATGGTAACAGGAGAGACAAAATATTGCACCACCTATCAAAAAATGTTTCAAGATATTCTTGTACGACATTATTAAGATTGCATCTTTTAATATGTTGTTCTATAAATACTGTTTGTTTTGATTTGCATATTTAGAAGGTTGTTTCGATAAGTAGCTTTTAATAAATTTTGCAATTTCAAAATTCTACATTTTTTGAAAATGACCCATATATATCAGTCAGGGGAGTTACTTGTACAAGTGATTTTTAAAATCACTTTCTCAAGTGATTTTTTCAACAAAACTAGAGTTAATTCCCTTTCATTACTTTTTAAAAATCACTTCTACCAGTGATTAGAAATAATTTTTTAAAATCATTCAAGTGATTATTATGTTTGGAAAAGTTTTAATAAGAAACCAGGGTTATCTCCCTCTTTCAGAGGACAACATCACAACAGGGGTCTTTTTGACATTAGCTAATAGAAGACACCTGTTTAAGGTAGCACAATACAAAGATTTTTTCATCCCCAATCAGACAACTTTAAACTGATGTAATTTCTTTCATCCAGCTTTGAATTTTATAAATGAGGTACCAAAAGAAAGAAGAAAGATTAATCTTTCAAATGGTGATTATTTCATTATGACATGATTATTACATAATTAATTATTATGTAATTAGTAGCTATATTGTGATGTCCACACTTGAATGTAATTAGCTTCTTTGTTATTCATACCATCCCAAAATATTTTATAGATTCTTGTGCAACACAGTTTGACCTCCAAAAGGGTGTCTCAGATTTTTCCTATTGTCTTTCATTCTCTCATAAACCTTCAATGAAGTTTGCAACCTCAATTCATAAGAGATCACTAAATTAAATTGGGTATAAAATTTTTTCTATTGATGTTTTTGGAAACAGAGACACGCTTTTGAAGATAACTGGTCAAGGAACAACGTGTGAAAATCAAGCATATAGAGGCACCCATCTAGGAGCTAATTTCATTTAAAACTACATTTTCATGACAAAAATGAATGTGTCACAATTGAATAAATAAGGATTTTCCTACTTGTACCCCTTTAACTTCAATATAATTCACACATGTATCATGGGAATACTTCAGGATTGGCCTTTAATCATAAATCAATTAGGTTTTGACCAGTAAGAAAGCATTCCAATTCAGCAATTCTAAATATATAAAGAAAATGCACACCCTATGCATCAACAATCAGATCTGGCGGGAGATGTTATATCATTATTGACCTTGCTGTAAGTCAGTTGCTACTGATATGGTCAAAACTCCGCCCACCATGATAAACCTTTACTATTAATGATCTCAGAAGTTTAATTACACATTGCATTTACTTTTTTCAATATGGATTTTATTCTTTTAGTACATAAAATGATATATTTTGTTTTTTGCATTGTTACAAAAAGTAAGTTATGCATGTGTACACCAAAATGATCAGTTGGTCAGTCTAGAGGATCCTTATGGGGGATTTCTAGAATTATAATTGTATACAATGACAATATGGTGTTTTACACAAAGTAGATTTTTTTCATTTTTTGCAGTTTGAAAATGAAGTATTTAGTTTGTATTTTCTTTTAAAAAGAATGCATATTTAAATATTTTCCTCAAGAAATTCTAGTATAAACATCAGCAACATTTATTGTTGTACAATTAAATTTGTTTAATATCTGTACATTTATATTTTGATTCCCTCTTTAGCTCCAAATAGTTGTTTTGTTTTTTCTCCTGACATCTCCAATACAGAAATGTATTTTTATTTGGAATTCATTATCTTTCATTTTTCCATAAATCCCTAATCCACCTCTTTTTCATAACTGTTATTTTTATTGCTGGTCAGTGGTTGTAAAGCTATCAAATGATTCTATTGATTAACCACATAGTACTGCCCACATGTTCTTATCTTGTATCAGTCAGACACATGCATTTGTTTATAAAACTAATTATCATCAAAACTCATTAACACTGCAAGATATGTAAATAATTTTTTCTTCTGTGGTTTTTGAATATTGAGAAGTAAGAAAAACAGCTGAAAATGAAATTTTGATAAAATTTAGTTGCTTTTGTATTGTGCTACCTTAAAAGGTGAAAATAAATAAAAACTAACTTGTAAGGAGAAAAATTTATTTTCTGAACAAACAATAGCATTAGTAGCAATCTGTTCAAATGTTCTTTCAAATAAACTGCTTGCATATACTGTAATAAAGGGACATTCCTCACAAACTGTAAAACTGATGCTACCATATTTGTACTCGTGCTGAGTTTGGCGGTAATAAGCATTGTCTATAAGGTTCATTACATTTGGTTGAGGCAAAGTTGAGTTAGAGAACGGAAACCAATTTTGGGATGTACAGACAACAAGGACAAGGGTAAAACTTAATGCCCCTACCCTACAGCTGGGGCATAAAAAGGAACAATAAAAACTCATAAAATGAAAATGCTATGACCAAAAAAAATCACAAACATTTTTACATACATATGTAGAAAACTAAAGACTCAAACAGTGATAAATATGATTTTGCAGGTCATAATTATAATTTGTAGTGAAGTTAATGGAATATAATCATTCATTAAAAAAATAGTATTGATCACTGGTATAAATAAAAATAAAACACTTCAAAGGGTGTCTTTCATCACATACATTTTGAAATAATGTAAATCACTGGTACAAATGATTTTAAATCACAGCACAGAGTGATTTTCATTTAATTAGAATGTAAATCACTTGTACAAATGACTTAAAATCACTGCACAGAGTGAATTAAAATGTGTGTTTATCTCTGATACCAGCAGTATTTCCAATTAACTTCTATGGTGAAAAACAGACATATATATTTTTTTTTAATTCAAATTAAAAAAATAACTATATTTATCAATCAAATCAAATCTGTTGTAAATTGTATAATTTCAGAGGGCTGAAACAAAATGTGTGCAACAGCAATTGAATCTTAATAAACAAGAGGCTCTCGAGAGCCTGAATCGCCTACCTGTTATTTTTTGCTTAAATCTTTCATCAATGATTATTTTTGCTTTTCGATATATATTAATAATGAGTGGCTTAAAAATACCATTTAAATGTTCTTTAATGAATTGGTGGCCATGTTTGTTGATGGATCAAAACTTCAGATACAATTTATAAACTAGATACCCTAATGAACATTCATTTAAAGTTTGAAGGTATTTGGCTCAGTAGTTTCAGCGGATAAGTTTTTGAAATAGTTTATGACGACAGACGCCAAGTGATGACATAAGCTCACATAGGGCACTTCCGGCCTCAGTTAGCTAAAAAGGGGGGATGACTTGAGTGACTTTTATTTACTGTTCAGAGTGATTTCAACAGAACACTGGTAGAAGTGATTTCCAATTAGAAACCCCTCCCCTATTAGAAATCCAGTACCAGAATATTAATCTTTATTTAATGACCAGGACTAATCATCAATGATTGAACTCTGTTTCAGATTTTAGTCTTTGTAAGGGTTGAAACTGTAATGAAACAGAATGCAGAGGTCATAAAAGTTGTCAAATTTTGCAGGCCTAGATCATTTGAATCTTTTTGTCAGAATATAATCATTTCTATAAATTCAAATTCAGATAACACTTTTATACGACCGGTATGACGTTAGCGTCGTCGTCGTCGTCCGAAGACACATTGGTTTTCGCACTCTAACTTTAGTTTATGTGAATGATCTCTATGAAATTTTACCATAAGGTTCAATACCACAAAAGGAAGGTTGGGATTGATTTTGGGGGTTATGGTACCAACAGTTAAGGAATTAGGGGCCAAAAAGGGGCCAAAAATAAGCATTTTTGTAACTTCCAGACATAACTTGTGTGTTAGTGTATGGATCTCTCTGACATTGTACCACAAGGTTCCATATCACAAAGGGAATGCTGGGATTGATTTTGGGGGTAATTGCCTCAAAATATTAGGAATTAGGGGTCAAAAAAGGGGCAAAAAACAAGCATTTTTCTAGTTTCATGACAATAACTTGTGTGAAAGTGTATGGATCTTTCTGAAATTGTACTACAAGGTTCCATATCACAAAGGGAAAGCTGGAATTGAGTTTTGAGGTAATTGCCCGAAAAGTTTAGGAATAAGGGGCCAAAAAGGGGCCAAAAATAAGCATTTTTCTAGTTTCCAGACAATAACTTGTGTTCAAGTGTATGGATCTCTCTGAAATTGTACCACAAGGTTCCATATCACACAGGGAATGCTGGGATTGATTTTTGGGGGTAATTGCCTCAAAATTTTAGGAATTAGGGGCCAAAAAAGGGGCAAAAAACAAGCATTTTTCTAGTTTCATGACAATAACTTGTGTGCAAGTGTTTGGATATTTCTGAAATTGTACTACAAGGTTCCATATCACAAAGGGAAAGCTGGAATTGAGTTTGGAGGTAATTGCCCGAAACGTTTAGGAATTGGGGGCCAAAAAGGGTCCAAAAAACAAATTTTTCTAGTTTCCAGACAATAACTTGTGTTCAAGTGTATGGCTCTCTGAAATTGTACTGCAAGGTACCATACCACAAAGGGAAGGCTGGGATTGAGTTTGGGGGTGATGAATCATAAGGCATAAGGGGGTTCAAAAAATTTTGGGGGGGGATTTTTTTTTATTCCTTTTTTATCTTTTTTTCCTTTTTTATACGACCGCAAAAATTTTTGCGGTCGTATATTGGTATGACGTTGGCGTCGTCGTCGTTTGGAGTCGTCCGAAGACACATTGGTTTTCACACTCTAACTTTAGTTTAAGTGAATGGATCTCTATGAAATTTTACCATAAGGTTCAATACCACAAAAGGAAGGTTGGGATTGATTTTGGACCAGTTTTTTGACCAATTTCAATGCATTTCCTCCAAAAAAGAAATTCAATGTACACAATGTTTTCCTGTTCGAATGGTTTTACACTAGTAATTTTTTGGGCATTTATAGCTTGCGGTTTGGTGTGTGTTGAAGGCCGTACTTTGACCTATAATGGTTTACTTTTACAAATAGTGACTTGGATGGAGAGTTGTCTCATTGGCATTCATACCACATTGTCATATATCTATGCATTCCATTTTTATTTTTAAAGTAATTAGCCATCCATTATGACATATATATATTATATAGAAAATATATTTATAACTCTTGCATGTCTTGTTAAATTTGAAGTATCATGTGACTGGTAAGTTTTCTTTAAGATCAAGCAACACAGTTAAATGAGTAACACAATATTACGAAATAATAATATTAATAATAATATTTTGTTATGTTCAAAGGCTCAGAATTTTTTCCTATATACCTTATTATAACACAAGGTACTTAACTCATATTTTTGAATAATGCTTTAGTGAGAAATTATGATTATAACCTATATAAAGCATTTGAACTTTTATAAATAAAGACTATATATATATATGAAAATTATCTCTCCATAAACATGTTTTGTGAGAACTGCAGGGTTCTCACTAAGGCGAGTTCATGAGTCCTGGATTCGTGAAAATCTGTCTGGACTCACCATTTAAAAAACTGATGTTGGCGAGTCCAAAGATGCATCAAGATAGCACACATATCATCATTTTATAGCAAAATTTTAAAAGTAATTTGTATTTTATCTCATTTTGTTGCTCTATTAGGTCAAGGAGACTAAAATAATAAATTATATTGCAATAAAATATTGTCTTCATAATGTTGGACTCACCATGGCCAAAAGTAACAAGTCCCTTAAAAAATCCATAGGGAGAACCCTGCAGATCTTATCCCTTGTACCTCTAGCCTATGTGGATTAAACTAACACATCAATATGCACAGTAAAGCTCATGTTGAAAGAAGTCTGAGTCCAATGTTAGAATAGGCAACAGAAGAAACTCTTAGCAAAATGACAATCATTGACAATGACCAACATAATGTAATAATAAACCAATAACATGTGCTTTAATTATTTCAGATTAGAAGACAAGAGAAGCCATCGAGTAGAACTGAAAATCATTTCTAGTATTCACAATAGCATGTTGGGAATCCAAGCAGAAAGGAATTGATTTCCATGTAATATATATCCAATAGTTTCTAAGATTCAATGACGTCATTGTCCATTAAGCTACCTGAATATGCTGAAAAAAAAATCTGTGTCTTAGCGAAAAATGAACACAAATAATTAAGGTGCTTTACCATGTTTACCTGAAAAATCGGAAACAAAACCCGAATGAAGGCATTGACTAACACAGTTAGTAGGACAGAGACAGACAGGGTGTCATAATTTTAAAGAGCCAAAAAATTATAATCCAATTTCATAGAAGTAGGAAATGCAAACAAACAATAAGTTTCCTACTTACATCCTTACCAGTTGTTAAAGATGGAATTGAGTCTCCAAGAAGATATTGTAGAAAACAATGATGAGATTAAAGTTGAAGGTGAAATTTTGACATGGGACACCCTCTGGTTTGAAGTTTGTAGTTCTGGGGAGCACATTGAGGATAACAAGGAAACTGTGAACACTTTCTCTGAAACAGCTGGCTGTGATCAAGTTATTTGTTGTACAGAAATAAGTAAGTTTTATAGTGAACTGTAAATTGAGAAATCATTGAGAGGTTTTTTTAATGTAAAATTAAATATATGCAACTCCTTGAGTATTGCAATAATAAGAGCTCACATTCTAATATCTGGTACATATGTCTGTACGTAGCTTTTTCAGTTATAATTACATCAATAATAATAGCAATAATTTCTTAATATACAATATTATTTCACTAAAAGTATTTTAGATATGTTTTTTTTACATGTTTTTTATGATTTTATATCTTGCACTAGCCACTGCAATACAACTAGACAAGAATAAGTTGAGTAATAATTTCAATGAAACAACTACCCGCTAGAGACCAAATAATTCAAACTCTAGCAAGTAGAGGCCTAGTCATCATGAAGCTTTGAACAATGAGAAAACCTGTACCCCATAGTAAGCAAAATGGCAAGGTTAAAGGACCTGACATAAGAGTTAGTAATCCAATTCAACAAGAAGTCTTAGACCAATAACCTAAGAATCAAACGTGTTGCATATCAACTGATGACAAACACTGACTTAACAAGATCATTAAGTTGATTTGGTTGAAAATCTCATTGAATTTTAATAGTGAAGTTCAATGATGGTGAATATGAGTTATTCACTTTGTTATATATCACACATCTAATATAATCTCCTCACATAGTCATATCTACTTTATATATCAATACATCTATCAAGCTTGAGCAATTTTACTGTGATTACTTAGTATAGATCTATAACCTCATTGTAGCCCATCCCCTCACAAAATACACCACAACACATTCCTCAGGAACAGAATCCCACCTCCATTTTTAAAAAAAACTCTTAATCGGTAAATGCTAAAGGATAAATGGATTGTTGTTTAACTTCCTATATTGAAAAAGAGGGGCAAAAGATATCAGAGGGACATTCAAACTCATGTCAAAAATAATCTGACAATGCCATAGCTAAAGAGAAACAGACAAATGGACAAGCAAAAGTTAAAAAAACACAACATAGAAAAGACTAAGCAACACGAACTCCACCCCAAAACTGTAAATATTAAACTAATCAGATGGAGAATATGTTAATTCCATACATATTTATTACTGATTGAGTAGTATAATGTGCAGAATTTCTTATGAAATATGGAGATGAAAGGAGCCAAAAATGACTATAAAGTTTCTTTAAATACATGTTATATCTTGTTCATTTTCAGATAATGATGATGCAAGTGGCAGCATCCTTAATATTCAAAACATTGAAAGTAAAGGCAATGATGTCAGTGCAGTGACCACTAAAAGGGAGTCTTCTCAAAAACCAGAACATGCAAATGATTATGCTGTTGCAGAGGTCAAAAGAAAAAATAGTAGTGTCATGGATGAAGCAACAGGGTCACCACGTATGAAGAAAGCTTGTGCCACTAATCAAGACACATTAAGTAGAACAAGTAAAGAAAATAATAATTCAGAAAACGAGACAAGTTCAAGTAAAAAAAGTGAGGATAATATAAAGGTCAATAGTTATAATAGGTACAAGGATTATAATTTAATACGCCAGACGCGCGTTTCGTCTACATAAGACTCATCAGTGACGCTCAGATCAAAATAGCTATAAAGCCAAACAAGTACAAAGTTGAAGAGCATTGAGGACCCAAAATTCCAAAAAGTTGTGTCAAATACGGCTAAGGTAATCTATTCTTGGGATAAGAAAATCCTTAGTTTTTCGAAAAATTTAAAGTTTTGTCAACAAGAAATTTATTAAAATGACCATATAATTGATATCAATGTATCATATAAGAAAATTTCTGGGGCAACCATCAAGCACAAGGATATATGAATTTCATGGGACACAAGCATTTTCGTAAAAAGAAAAAGTCTCAAATTATTGAGACATATTGAAAAATAGTAGAGGTCAACTACCACATGACAGAGAGGATGGCCAAATAAGAAGCATATGGAAAGGTCACTAAAAGCTATGAACTGAAAAGAGAGCAATAAGCAGCAAACACCAACTGTTATTTTACTGATTGAGTAGTAAAGGATAAAAGAAGCCAAAATAATTAAGTTTCCTTCATTTAATATCCTGTTCTTTTTCAGAAAATGAAGATACAAGTGCAAGTGTCCTAAATAAAAATGACAATCAAAACATTGGAAGCAAAGACAATGTTGTTGGTGCAGTGATCCCCAAAAGTGCATCCTCTAAAAAACCAGAACATGCAAATGACGAGACTACTGCAGAGGTCAAAAGGAGAACTAGCAGTGTTAGGGATGAAGCAAACAAAGACTGTGCTACTCATCAAGACACTTTAGGTAGAACAAGTAAAGAAAATGATTATGCAGAAAACCAGATAATTTCAAGTAAAAAAAGTAATGGAAATAAAGAGGTCACTATATCAGATAAGAAAGCACAATTTAAAACATCTGGGGTAAGCATCAAGTACAAGCAAAATGTAAATAAACATGATATTAAATCGACATGTAAGAGTGAAAGGGGAAATGTAGAGAAAATGTTTGATAGTACAGAATGGGACACAAGCACTTCTCTTGTTAAGAAAAAAACTCAAATTATTGAAAAACTAAAAATGACAATCGAGAGTGAACATCTAGAAAAAAGAAATAAAGAAAACCAGAAAGACACAACTCAGAATTGGCCTTGTAATGAATTGCCTGACTCTCAAACCGGAATAACAAACAACACAGTTAATGATTTATTAGGTGAAATTGAAATATATATACCATCGCAGTTAAATGAAGAGCAGTTCAATAAAATGCAGTCTACAACAAATAATAGTGAACATTTAGAAGATGCTCAAATACAGGAAACAGTCAGATTAATTGAAGATCAGTTCAATAATTTGAACTCTGTTACAATGAACAACAATGAAAGTGGCCAATCGCATGATCATGATGATTCTGAAAACTTTACATCAAGCGTACTAAATAGTGGATCTAATAGTCAGCAAGATGAGACATCATATGACCATAATGATCGAAGTTGTCAATCTGCTAGATCTCAATATGGTTGGAAAGATTGTGCAAAGATCATAAATGTAACCCCACAAATCAAAGAGTGTGATGTTATTCAAAATGGCCAATCGGTTGATCATGATGATTCTGAAAACTTTACATCAAGCGTACTAAATAGTGGATCTAATAGTCAGCAAGTTGAGACATCATATGACCATAATGATCAAAGTTGGCAATCTGCTAGATCTCAATATGGTAGGAAAGATAGTGCAAAAATCATAAATGTGACCCCACAAATTAAAGAGTGTTATGTTGTTCTAAAAGACACTCAATATGGTAGGAAAGATAGTGCAAAAATCATAAATATAAACCCACAAATCAAAGAATGTAATGTTGTTCTAAAAGACACTAAATATGGTAGAACAGATAGTGCAAAAACCATTAATGTAAACGTTAACCCACACATCAAAGAATGTTATGTTGTTCTAAAAGACTTTAGAAAAGGAAATGAATTAACAGAGAACACGGCAAACAATCAATCAACTGCATTAACAAATAGAAGAGTAGTTAATGCTTGTAATGATTTGAATGGAGATGAGGAAAATCTGAACAGTTTAAGAGCAAATGACAAAGAAACAAAAGAAGACAAATCTTTCGGTTCCAGACTTGAAGTAAATAACCAGAAACAGAAAGGAAACATTTGCAAAGGACAAAAATTAAACAAACTAGGAAATCAAAAGTTTCGTTTCCCATGTGGAAAAGAATTCAAATATACATGTAATGTATGTTACAAAAAGTTCAACAAGTCACGTCATTTAATAAAGCACTCCAGAATTCACACTAGAGTCATTACAAAAACACAAAAGCCTAAAACAACACATTGGTGCTTCCCATGTGGCAAAGAGTTTGAACGTATCAGTTGGCTAAAAGTACATCAGAGAATACATACAGATGAAAGGCCATATTCATGTAATGTATGTAACAAAAAGTTCAAGAATTCAAGTCATTTAAAAAAGCACACCCTAATTCACACAAGAATCAGAACAAAAATACAAAAGCAGAAAACTACACATTGGTGCTTCCCTTGTGGCAAAGAGTTTAATTGTATGAGTAGGCTAAAAGAACATCAGAAAATACATACAGATGAAATGCCATATTCATGTAATGTATGTTGTAAAACATTCAAGAAGTTAGGTTATTTAAAACAGCACACTCGAATTCACACTAGTGTCATATCAAATTTACAAATGCAGAAAACAACTCATTGGTGCTTCCCATGTGGCAAAGAATTTAAACGTGTCTGTAGGCTCAGAGAGCATCAGAAAAGTCATTCAGATGAAAGACCTTACTCCTGTTGCCTGTGTTCTAGAAAATTTAAGAAGATATACAATTTGAAATTGCACAGACGTATACACACAGGCGAAACACCATATAAATGTGAATTCTGTGATAAAAAATTTAGATATGGAAGCTCTTTGTGGCGCATGAGCAAATTGAAAATCCACGAGAGCAGTCATGCAGGAGTAAAGATTCAGCATTGTGATCTTTGTGGTCAAGATTTTCGAAATAAATCTAGTTTAAAGCTCCATAACCAGATACACACTGGTGAGAACTATTTTAACTGTGACCAGTGTGATAGAAGTTTTAAGGAAGCAAGTAAACTGCAGGTACATAGACAGAAAGACCATACTGGCGACAAACCATTTAGGTGTTCTGTTTGTTTTAAGAGATTTCGTGAAAAGAGTTCGCTCAATAAACACATCAAACATGTATGTTCTCAAACAAAAGTTTCAAATAGTATGAGATGTTATGATGAAATCCAGTATAAATCCAAAAACAGTAGAGAACAGTTACCAGTCAGTACCAGTTTATGGCTCAACAAAGAAGCAGTGCCTAAAAAAAATGAACGGTTTGTTTGCTTACATTGTGGAACTGGATTTCATTACATAGCTAGATTTAAGATACATCTTTTAACACACTCAGATGTCAAACCTTTCTCTTGTGATGTTTGTGGTAAATCATTCCGTCGAGGACATTCTTTGAAGACTCACACCCGAATACACACTGGGGAGAAACCGTATATGTGTAAATTTTGTGAAAAAGCATTTTCTTCCATAAGTTCACTAATTTTCCATAGAAGGACACATACTGGAGAAAAACCATATTTATGTCATGTATGTGGTTTGCAATTTTCTACAGGAACTTGCTTGAATAATCATCAGTTGACGCATCAGGATATCAAATTGCACAAGTGCCAAATATGTAACAGAGCATATAAGAGACTGCGGCATTTGAAAAAACACATAGAAACTCACCAAAAAGGAGATAAACTTAAGTGTGAAACATGTAGTAAAGAGTTTAAGAACAAAGACACTTTGAAATCTCACATGAAAATTCATACAGGGAATAAGCCATTTTCTTGTTTGATGTGTCAGAAAACATTTGTGTCAAAGCAAGATTTAAATCAGCACAAACGTACCCATACTGGTGAAAAGCCTTATGAATGTGATTTATGCCAAAAAAAATTTAGTGTACAAAAATCACTAATAGATCATTTACGTGTGCACTCTGGAGAAAAGCCATATGCTTGTGACATATGTGGAAAAGGATTTAGCCAGACAGGAAGTCGAAGCACACATCAAAAGACACACACTTTATCTAAGCAACATGTTTGTGAACAGTGTGGAAAGGAATTTACTTATAAATGTAATTACGAAAAACACATGATAACACATACAAACGAAAGGCCCTTTACCTGTACAATTTGTAATAAAGGGTTCACTCAAAGCAGTAGTTTGAATACACATTACAGATTACACAAGAAAGAGTTGAACTCAAGGAAACATGAAGAGAAAGACCGGATTCTGAATGAACCCCGCCCAGCTGAATCCGAAAAAGCAAAGTTCGTTCATGAAAAAGTTGAAGTAGTTAATCAGACTTCAACTAATTTAAAGAATACAGGAACTCCTTCAATGATGGATGGAAGGAAGATGTCAACAGAAAAAGATGTCACAGAGGAGGAAGCTGCTCCAAAAGCTTCGAATTTTAAAACAGCAGAAAAACAAATAACTAAAACTAAAGGACCCAACTATCCTTGTTCTAAATGTGGAAAAGTGTTTAATCAAAAGTATAGTTTAAACTTGCATCAACAGACACACTATGAAAAGAAACAATTTAAGTGTGATGTTTGTGGAAAAGAATTTAATTTTAAAGGCAATCTAAAAACTCATCTTCGTGTCCATACCAATGAAAAACCATACAAATGTCATGAGTGTGGTAAAGGGTTCAGTCAGAGCTCTAGTCTACATACACATAGTCGCTTACATGAAAAAGGCAGCAGCATTATCTTAAAAAGAAATTAATATTAAATACCACTTTTAAAAATATCAAGGAACTATGTAATTTGATGAATGAAATATTTTTTTATTTTTTTTATGTTCAAAAACATTATTTCAAGTTACATCAGAGGGATGGACAAAACAAAGTTTGTATTACTTATTCACATTAAACTAGGATATAAAATTAGGAATGAGTAAAAATTGAACACAGAGAAGTATACATACAAAAAGTATATCTTTATAATAATAACTTCATCAACTGTGTGGTTATTTCTTATACTTAATTTGTGGACAAACCTACTGAAAGATAATGTAGGGTTTGGATATTTGCATTTCTTCCCTTTATTCAGTAAAGTTATTATCATGATTATTGATTATGACAAAAATGGTACTTCTGTAATTCGCCCCAAAAATATTTTTTTGTTTTCATCTTTTCATTGTCAAATTGATACTACGGGCAACTCTTACACTTAATATAATATATTAAGCCGATTTTTAGTTTGAATTTAGTTTAAATAAGCTTTTTTTAGCTCACCTGGCCCGAAGGGCCAAGTGAGCTTTTCTCATCACTTGGCGTCCGTCGTCCGTCGTCGTTAGCTTTTTTCAAAAATCTTCTCCTTTGAAACCACTGGGCCAAATTTAACCAAACTTGGCCACAATCATCATTAGGGTATCTAGTTTAAAAAATGTGTCCGATGACCCCGCCAACCAACCAAGATGGCCGCGATGGCTAAAAATAGAATATAGGGGTAAAATGTTGATTTTGGCTTATATCTCTGAAACTAAAGCATTTAGAGTAAATCTGACAAAGGGTAAAACTTATTATCAGGTCAAGATCTATCTGCCCTGAAATTTGCAGACAAATCTGACAATCTGTTGTTGGGTTGGTGCCCCTGAATTGATAATTTTAAGGAAATTTTGCAGTTTTTGGTTATTATCTTGAATATTATTATAGATAGAGATAAACAGTAAACAGCAATAATGTTTAGCAAAGTAAGATCTACAAATAAGTTGTCATGACCAAAATTGTCAGTCGACCCCTTTAGGAGTTATTGCCCTAAATAGTCAATTTTTAACAATTTTTTGTAAATTTTTGTAATCTTTTACAAAAATCTTCTTCTCTGAAACTACTGAGACAAATTTAACCATACTTGACCATAATCATTATTAGGGTATCTTGTTTTAAAAATTTGTCCGATGACCCTGCCTTCCAACCATCATGGCCGACTTGGTTAAAAATAGAACATAGGGGTAAAATGCAGTTTTTGGATATATCTCTGAAACTAAAGCATTTAGAGCAAATCTGACAGGTTGCAAAAATGTTCATCAGATTTAGATTTATCTGCCATGAAATTTTCAGACGAATCCGACAACCCGTTGTTGGGTTGCTGCCCCTGAGTTTTTGAAGGAGGGGTGTTCTTCCTAAAAAATTTGCAGTTTTTTGTTATTATCTTAGATATCATTATAATATCTAATATCTAATACTATTAATTATGATTTTGATCTTATTTTACATGATTTCCAAAGCATCATTAAATACAGGTGAGCGACACAGGCTCTTGAGAGCCTCTAGTTTTATTAAAAATTAAAATATGAGTTTTGAAGTCACTTAAAAGATGTCAGCGTATTGTAATTACATTCAAGTTATTAAAGTACTTCCTCTAAAGATTAAAAATATGAATAGCAATGGTATCACACAATGTTTTATTTTCAGAAAATTTACACAGCCAGCTACGACAAAAATGTACCTTAATGTTTCTTAAAAAACAATGCCAGAACTCTTAAGTTCAGTTTAAAAAGGCTTCTTGTATATTCTTTGTTTTATTGCAATTATATTGATTGTATAGTTAGGCACTTACAATTCATCCTTTAATAATGACATGGGTTTTATTCTACAGAGATATTTTTTTTATTTGTAATTGATATAAAATTATATTCAGTTCAATAAAATCAGGAAGAAGAATTTCTTTTTATAAAAAAAGCTTTGTTTTTATTGTGTCACCTGCAAGAGAACAGCAAAATGCGAGACATATTGAATTATCTGTGGCGGCGTAAACTATTTATATTTTACCTAAATTATTTTTCAAAAGAAAAGGTAGATAACTTGTATGCAGATACGTTATGTTATGAAGCTTCCGTCTCATATATGTCCATTGTCCTTGTCCTCATTTTCATTGACCAACTGCAATAAAAACTTTGAATGTCTAGTTGCTTTTTTGTTTGTCGTGTGAAAAACTCTTTGATTATCAGCAATAGGACAATTACATTTTGGTATATATGGGATCCTCGCATGCTCTGCACCCCTAAGCAGTATTAATTTAATGAGTCAGAGATTAAGATTTAGTTTCGTTCAGCCAATGGCAGGGACGTTAGGGGGACGACCACTTGCTTTTTGTAAATTCTGTCACAGAAAGCTCTTCACAAGGATAGTGATCTGGCGTCAGGGGCGGCGTCAGCTCAATTCTTAAAAGCTTTATATTTTAGAAGGTGGAGGACCTGGATGCTTTATACTTTGTATATAGATGCCTTATGTTATGAAGTGTCCGTCTGTCATATGTCCATTGTCCTTGACCTCATTTTCATGGTTCAGTGACTACTTGAAAAAAATTTAAGATTTTTCATAATGTCAATTTCTTTCTTATTATGAGTAATAGGATATATTTAATATGTGCGTACCTTGCAAGGTCCTCATGCCCGTCAGACAATTTTCATTTGACCTCGACTTGATCACATGGATCAATGAACAAGGTTAAGTTTTCGTAATCAAGTCCATATATCAGATAATATAAGCAATAGGTCTTCTATATTTGGTGTATGGAATGATTGAAAGGTATACATGTCCAACTTGCAGGTGTCATTTGACCTTGACCTCAGTGGTCAAAGTTAAGTGTTTGAGTTTGGCCTTTTTTTTCTAATACTATATGCAATAGGTCAACTATAATTGGTATATGGACGTACACGTCAGTCTTGCATGTTTTATTTGACCACGACCTCAATTTCACGATTTATTGCTCGGTGTTTTGGTCTGTTTTTTCTTAAACTATAAGCAATAGGTCAACTATATTTGTTGTATGGAAGGATTTTGTAAGGTGTATAGGTCTATCTTGCAGGTATCATCTGACCTTGACCTCATTTTTATGGTTCATTGGTCAATGTTAAGTTTTCATGGTTAAGTTTGTTTCTTAGATACTATGAGTAATAGGTCAACTATATTTAATGCATAAATTTATTGTAAGATGTACATGTCTGTCTGACATGGTTCGTCTGACCTTGTAGTAAAACTTTATATTTAGGATTATCAACATAAAATCAATGGTCTGTAAAAGAGGCGAGACAATTCAGCGTGTGCACTCTTTTTGTAAGGAGAAAAAAGGACTTTTTTATGTTTGAGTAGTTTTTTTTTTTTTGATCTTAAATTACATTATAAACCATGTTTGCTAATTCGTGATGGAGTGAGAGGAGCAACTCCGCCATTTGCCATTCACAGTGTCCATAATTATTCATATCAAGATTGTAGAATGTAAACACATTGATTTTACTTGATGAAAGTTTGCGGATGTGATCTCTCTATCTGTGTATGTATGTGCGTTTCCGATCGGATCGCTATAAACTCATTAACCAACGACTTATATTAGGCTTTTCTCTGAAGTTCCGTTTGGTTATACAGATCCTCAATTATTTTTCCTTCCCGGCTTTCAATTTCTTTTAATATGATCGTTCCTGAAATCAAATGGGTCCGCTTTGAATGCGACTGGTTCTTTATTGTTTGTCGTCTAATACAAGGGTGAAGCACTGTTCAAATTTGTTTGTGAGATAAAAAGCACGTTTTTGGGATACAATTGCTGCCAAGCAGTCTGTAGACTTTTACCATTGACTCCCTTCCAAGGCTCTCACGTCAACCGTTTTGTGCTTTACATTAAAGAACAACTCAGATTCTTAAGATTGCCCTGTTATAAAAAGTAAAAACAAACAAACAGATTGAATTTAAACGACTTTCCGTTAATTTTCTTCTCATAATCCTCATGTTTTGATATCTCCCTTTTTTATTTACCTTTATTTTTCAATACAGAAAATCAGAATTAAGCAGTATTTATATTTAGGGTTTATATATTTAGAATCACGTCAAAGAGGGAATTCCGCGGTTTTGTTAAAATACGAGAGTGGTTCCGAATAAAACTATTTCTGTCAGATAAGTACTGAATCGGTGTTTTTTTGTAATATGTTACCGTTCTGTTATGACACTTTGGTATTAAACTTCCTTAAAGAAATGGAGATCCGCAATCAAGGACGTATAACTAACATATAATATACGTCCTTGCTACAAAAGAGGGACGAAAGATACCAGAGGTAATAGTACAGATGACACAACTTAGAAAACTAAAGACTAAGCAACACGAACCCCACCAAAAACTGGGTGATGATCTCAGGTGCTCCGGAAAGATAAGCAGATCCTGCTCCACTTGGGCACCCGTCGTGTTGCTTATAAATAAAGGCAACAGTAGTATGCCGCTGTTCGAAACTAAAATCGACATAAATCGGTAGAGATAAAAACAAATCCGGGTTACAAACTAAAACTGAGGGAAACGCATCAAATATAAGAGGAGAACAACGACACAACAAAAACACAACATTAAAATGTAACACACACAGAAACGAACTATAATATAACAATGGCCATTTTCCTGACTTGGTACAGGACATTTTAAGAAAAAAATGGTGGGTTGAACCTGGTTTTGTGGCATGCCAAACCTTGTTATTACAAATCCGGTAAATAGTCTAATTCGGTAGGTCACATTCGTGAAAAGGGAAGGGTATTGTAGTTACGACATAAGGAACATATATCCGATATCATCTGTGAAACAGTTATTCCATAGCGGTCAACCAACTCGTGATGGCGGGCGTAAAATTTACGAAGGGATGATTTCAACTTCACCATTTGGAACTCTTGGTTTAATAGCTTCCTTGTGAGCAGTAATCCTCTATCAAGGAAATCATGATAGGAAATACAAGCCCGGGAATATCGTATCAATTGGAAGATATATACTCCGTATGCAGGCGCTGCTGGAATGTTGCTACATACAACTGACCTCAATCAAATCATAATTCTAACGGTTTGTTTTCGTGATTAAGCGCATGCGTAGTTTTCTTGACCTCGAGGGGTATCAGACTAAATGGTTGATCTGGATTCCCTACTCCTTTTATTGATTTGAAACTCAAGAGAACCTTTCTGTGTCTATCTGCTATTTAGGGTTATTGTTGTTGCATGATTTTAAATCATGTGCAACATTTGAATAAAATAAATGTAGTCAACAACGCAATGGAAGAAGTAGAACACCCCTTCAGCCAAAATTGAATCTTCCATATTATCAACGTACCACTTGTTGCTCACCATTGACCAAATGCTGTTAAAAAGTTAAATTCCTTTAGCATGTGTAATATTTAAGTAATTATCAGAGGTATTTATTTACTATTATTCCTGTTTTGTTGTCGAGCCTGCGACTTTTGTCGCAGAAAGCTCGACATAGGGATAGTGATCCGGCGGCGGCGGCGGCGGCGGCGTTAGCTAACTTCTTAAAAGCTTTATATTTTAGAAGCTAGTAGACCTGGATGCTTCATACTTTGTATATATATGCCTTATATGTTACGAAGTTTCCGTCTGTCATATGTCCATTGTCCTTGACCTCATTTTCATGGTTCAGTGACTACTTGAAAAAAAAGTCAACATTTTTTGTAATGTTAATTCCTTTCTTATTATGAGTAATAGGATAACTATATTTTGTATGTGCGTACCTTGCAAGGTCCTTATGCCCGTCAGACAATTTTCATTTAACCTCGACCTCATTTCATGGATCAGTGAACAAGGTTAAGTTTTCGCGGTCAAGTCCATATATCAGATACTATAAGCAGTAGGTCTACTATATTTGGTATATGGAATGATTGTAAGGTGTACATGTCCAACTGGTAGGTGTCATATGACCTTGACCTCATTTTCATGGTTCAGTGGTCAAAGTTAAGTTTTTGAGTTTTGGTCTTTTTTTCTAATACTATATGCAATAGGTCAACTATAATTGGTATATGGAGGTACACGTCAGTCTTGCAGGTTTTATTTGACCACGACCTCAATTTCACGATTTATTGCTCGGTGTTTTGGTCTGTTTTTTCTTAAACTATAAGCAATAGGTCAACTATATTTGTTGTATGGAAGGATTTTGTAAGGTGTATAGGTCTATCTTGCAGGTATCATCTGACCTTGACCTCATTTTTATGGTTCATTGGTCAATGTTAAGTTTTCATGGTTAAGTTTGTTTCTTAGATACTATGAGTAATAGGTCAACTATATTTAATGCATAAATTTATTGTAAGATGTACATGTCTGTCTGACATGGTTTATCTGACCTTGTAGTAAAACTTTATATTTAGGATTATCAACATAAAATCAATGGTCTGTAAAAGAGGCGAGACAATTCAGCGTGTGCACTCTTTTTGTAAGGAGAAAAAAGGCCTTTTTTATGTTTGAGTAGTTTTTTTTTTTTTGGATCTTAAATTACATTATAAACCATGTTTGCTAATTCGTGATGGAGTGAGAGGAGCAACTGCGCCATTTGCCATTCACAGTGTCCATAATTATTCATATCAAGATTGTAGAATGTAAACACATTGATTTTACTTGCTGAAAGTTTGCGGATGTGATCTATCTGTGTATGTATGTGCGTTTCCGATCGGATCGCTATAAACTCATTAACCAACGACTTATATTAGGCTT